GGATGGATGGATGGATGGATGGATGGATGGATGGATGGATGGATGGATGGATGGATGGATGGATGGATGGATGGATGGATGGATGGACTGTATACTCTAGCTGATCAGACCATTGTAACTCAATAAAGGTAACTAAACAAAACAGCAATCTACAAGAAACAACAGAGTGTAGTTTGTAAATTAAACTACAGCAAAGAAGGAAATCAAAACAAATTAACTTTATTTACAAAATTATATAAGTCTAACATAAAAGCAACTAAACTGTCGAAGATAAAGAATTCCACCCCTGGATGTGGTGGAGCTGTCCAATTGGTGCTTGTTCAGGTGCTGTGAGTCCTGGCTGCCATCTTTGAGAAGGCAAAATTCCCATGGATCATGAAAAGTACAGTGAGACTATAAAAATAATAATATAAAAATAATAATAATGATAATAATATTAATAATAATAAAACATCATTCACACCCTAAAATATGGTCATGGCAGTTTAATTGTGTGGGGATGCTTTTCTTTAGCCATGATAGGAAAGCTAGTCACAGCAAATGAAAGGATAAATCTAAACTATATACAGGAAACATGCTGTCTTATCCTGTCTTTAACGAGTTAAAATTGTCTCATTTTTTTATAGACATATTTTAACCCAGAAAGTTAGAATAGATGAAATGCTAAATTATAACAGGAAATCTCAGCTCATTTAGTCAGAAAAAGTCTACAAATTTCTTCCTTTCATAACGCAAAAAAGTTATTTTTCTCTTAAGAGTTTTCATTGAAAACAAAGAACTTAGAATTTGTGATTTCATTAGATATCCAATTAGAAAACTCCAATATTCTTAATTAGACATTGTTGTGAATCTACATGTACATTACAGTATTTCAGTTAAAAAATTGAGAAAAATGAATTTAATCCTTTACCCTCCTTCCTGCCAGTATTCCTCCTGACTCATTACATCCAGTCTTCCCCTCCTCTCACCATTTTCGCCTTTCCTCTCGGTCTCTCTCTGTCTGTGTCTCTGCAGTTCTGGCAGTATGGTGAGTGGGTGGAGGTGGTTGTGGATGACAGGCTGCCAGTGCGCGAAGACCGTCTGCTCTTCAGCTACTCTCGCACTCGCAATGAGTTCTGGAGCGCCCTGGTGGAGAAGGCCTATGCCAAGTCAGTTGCCACCAGCAGCATATGCTCCTGGGCTGTAATGACTGTGATCACCCACACTCTCTGTGTGTGTTTGTCAGTCTTACAACTAAAGGTCTCAGCCATTGCAGAAAAACATTTCACCTTTTGTGCAGGTTGGTGGGATCCTACGGGAGCCTGAAGGGGGGAAACATCTCAGAGGGTATGGAGGATTTCACAGGAGGCATTGCGAACTCTATTCCTGTGACATCGCGCACTCCTCCAGTTCTCTGGAGGAATCTCTCAGCTGCTCTGTCCCGAGGCAGCCTGCTCAGCTGCTTCATCCGGGTACTTGACAAATGAACCTCTTAGTGTTTTTCATCATACACAGCTAGAGGTTGACGTATTTCCTTCTGAGAAACTTTGATCTTCTTTCTAACAGGCCTCAAACTATAGTGAGGTGGGTAAAGTGACAGCAGATGGGCTGATAAAGGGCCACGCCTATGCCATCACTGACACAGACAAGGTCAGTAAAACTGAGCTCTACCTGCTATCCTGTTTTCTTTGATGTCATTTCTGGATTCTAATTCCTTAATTAATAAAATCAAATTGATCAGAATATTTTTCTCATTTAAATTGCTTCCATCTTTTACATCTAACCCTAAAATTAGGACAGAACCAGATTAGTTCAAATACTCTGCAGGCTCACACCTTCCCTTACACTTTTCTATTTAAATCAAATATTTTCAATTTAGCCTCCTTAGAGGTCTTCTTCATGTTAAAATCTTTTTAATGGTTATTATTTCGAGTTCATACAGCAGATCAACATAACTAAGTGCGTACTTGTAAAAAGAAAATTTAGTGATATAGTTCTTAAATATAAATAAAAATCAGCTTAATATTTCCAAACCATCTTTTTGCTTAAGCTGACTGTATGAATGGAGAGGGTCCCCTGAAATAAACTTATTAGTTTCTGACATCACTGTCAAGCCTGAAATTGAAGCTCCGCCTTTATTTTTTGAAGCCTCTATTCAGCTTTCTTTCAGAATGTGTATCTTCTATGGTTGTTTTAAAAATAAGATTCACGTTACTGCAGAACAAAACCCCGCAGCATGTTGTGCATCTTTGCAGTTCACCCAGAGTTATCATGGGTCATTTCGCTTTTTCACTGATTAACACCCTCCTTGCCTCACCTGCCAGTTTTCATAAAGGGCTTTGTCTTGCTAGCTTTGTAGCTATGCTCTACTTTTTCCATTTTAAGATTATGGACTAAAAAGCCTTCTCCATAAGATGTTTTGGATATAGCTTTATAACATAACCTTACTTTAAACTCTTCCTAACCTGCCTGTCGTGCTCCAGAATATTTTTTTTTCTCACTAATAAACTCCTAAATAAAAGTTTAAAAGCTTCATGAGGAGCTGTTTTCCTATTTAAATCAGGTAACAAACAGCTGAAAAGTGTTTATTTCACCTAAGGAAACAGCTTGAACTGGATTCAAGTAAAGTGGTAGTAAAGACGCATGATTTAAACTTTCCAGGGCTTAATTGTAACTATTTGTTTCAGTCTACCACACAAATTGCAAAAAGAATATTTTAAATCAGCTGTAAATCAAGAAATGCTTAAATAAATTTTTTTTTCTCAACCAAAATTTAGAAAATATAATTCTGTATTTAGGTATCAATGCCAGCCATTATATGAATTATATACTCTAACCATCATTCTCAACGCTCCTGGTCATTCTAGTTATACCACTGATAGGATCTCTTTATTGCATTTGGATTTTACTAATTCTATCTTAACTCGTTAATATTCTAGGTGAAAAAAGGATCAGAGGAGATTTTGCTGCTGAAGCTGAGGAATCCATGGGGATTTGTTGAATTTTGTGGATCTTGGAGTGATAAGTCAGCAAGAGACAAATCAGAGGAAAAGATCGCTGAATATTTTAGACCCTAACTTTCTCTCTCTATTCATTCATCACTGCAGGTGTAAAGAGTGGAGGGATATGGAGCAGTCAGAGAAAGAAAGACTGGAACTCAAACAGGAAGAAGATGGGGAATTCTGGTATGGAGGACTAAAACTTATTTTGTGAGGCCAGCAGATGATTTGATTCTAATGACTGTCTGTCTTAGGATCAGCATTGATGACTTCAGCAGAATGTTTGATGTTCTGGAGGTCTGCAGTGTGAGCCCTATCTCTTTCGAGGAGGGCGACACATCCACAAACCAGCACACCTGGACTATAAGTGAACATAAAGGCTCCTGGGTGCCTGGGAGTTCTGCTGGCGGCAGCCGTAGATACAACAGTATGTCTGACAGATCCAATACTCAATATTTGCACCAAACCCCCTCTCATTACTTTACTCTCTTTTTTTAACCAGAGTCCTTTTGGAAGAATCCACAGTTCCAGTTGGTGCTGAGAGACGTGGACCAGGATGATGACGATGATGATGATGATGAAGACGAGGAGGATGATGATGGTGAGGATGAGATTGATCAGGGTGAAGAGACACAGATCACTGAGGCGAAGAAGAAAGCAGAGAAGCAGAAGAAGAAGAATAACCAATGCACTGTTCTGGTGGAGTTGCTGCAGAAAAACCGCAGGCTCAACAACAAAATCAACTTCTTCTTCATCGCTTTCCACATTTACAAGGTGAGAAGTAAACTCATCAGTGATAAATATTCGAGAGCTCTTTATTCACATTTAACTATGATCTCATCTGTTACGTTTTTTTTTTTTGTTTGTTTGTTTGTTTCAGGTTCCCCCAGAGGTAAGTTAAAAAGAAATTGCTTTTAATAATATCCCAGCTCTTTGTTTCCAAGTTCATCTTTTATCTGGTTCTCTTGATAGCTGCAGGGAGGCTGTTTGGACCGCAGCTTCTTTATGAAAAACCGTCCTGTGGGCCGTTCAGGAAAATACAAGGCTCAGAGGTGAGAGTCTTTTATTTGAGTCTGTAGAGCAGATCTTTATATAAGCTAGTACAAAAGCAATGAGAGAAGACTCTACCAATGTCACAGTCTATGCCTAAAGTAGGACCTGAAATCCTCTTTTCCAACTTTTATTGAAAAAATTGTATTTCTCCAGGTTTTTGTGGAAAACTAATCACAGTAGTTCAATCAGTTAAATGAAGCTAACATTATACAAATTCAGTTCAAAATATGCATTTAACTTTTTCCTCTAACTGTTTGTATTGCTCATATTGTCGAGCTATTTAAGCAGTTCTTTTTTTGTTTGTTTATGGCAAAGAGCTGCCATTGTGTATATTTTATTTATAAACCTTACTTGCAGTGGAGACTTAGTAATTTTAGGTGAAACTGTTAATGAATTTAAAGTATTTTGTCTATTCTAGCTAAATTGTTGATTGATAGATTAATTTCTGTATATTGTGTATCATCAGCAAGGCAGGTTCTCTTTTAAATTTCAAGGTTTTCTAAAGAACTTTCCAAGAAGGTTTGCTGCTTTAAAAACAAATTGAATAATCTGAAACTTTTGCAGAGCACTATGTACTGTTAAAGGTATAGTCGAGGATTTCAGTGAACTTCCCTCTCCACAAAAAAAAAATGCACATGCTCAACCCTGTACCCACTTCCGAGAGGGAACGCCAATTAAACGTGTGCGAGAGCATTCAAAATCACCTTTCTCCTCATGCATGCTCTGTCTAAAAGTTATAGTTTCACCACTCAAGCTTACTTTCCAATGTTTCCACTATGTCAGACTCACCACCGGTAATTGAAAATGGGGATGAGCACATAATAAGGCCTTACGTAAACATCTCACCAGAATGCTTGACAATTAGGAGGACCACTTATTTTGATGATCCACAGGGAAAAAGAATATCCTCCACTATACCTTTAAGAAAATGTTTGTTGATTTGGAACAATTTTGTCCCCATAGAGGTGTTTGGAGGAAGCTGCACCTGGAACCGGGTCACTACGTCGTCATTGGGTCCACTTACCGCCCAAACAATGGAGGAGACTTCTTCGTCCGTATGTTCTCCAAAACAAGAAATGCTCTTGGGTGAGATGAAGGAAATGTTTCTTTATGGACGAGAGAGAAATACCAAGAGAATAATTTATACTTATCTTAGTCTTAATAAAGTACTTATAGCTTAATGTTAAAAAGATAGATTTAAAAATTATGAGTTTTTACTCAGTGACTTTGCATAACGAGCTGCTCTGTACAGTAGCTGTCATAACTGTTGCATATCCAGTGCCTCTATGTGGACTCTCTGCAGCCATTGTTTCTCTCTTGGTAATTCTAATTCCTCCCACCCTTTGAAAACATGCATGTTAGATTAGTTGGCTACCCTAAGTTATGCACAAGTATAAGCTTGTGCTTCCTACTTGTCTGTCCTCTGTTTAATTATTCTGTCCTGGATGTACCTCTTGGCATTTGGAGAAAGCAACCATGCCCTGTAACAACCCTGCAAGGATAAAGCTCGTATTAAGTTTGGAGTCCTATTGGCAGCTACTTCAGGGAGTTTCCACAGCAAGTCATTACAAAGATTTGGCAGAGGCCAGATGCCCTTCCTGCCACTACTGGGATTCAAAGACACAGAAAGACACTTTACCATGACCCACATTGTTTGGTCATGTTGGTATACTGGAGCGGTTACCCAAGAGTATTTTGTGGTAACTGGAGAAGGTGCAATATAGACTTTTGTTTGTTTTAATCAGAAATATAATAGCCGATTCTGGACTTTGAACAGATGTAATAGCAGAGGTCCATCACATGAAAACATTGGTTCAAGTCTTTAATTATGTTTGAATAAAGCAGCTCTGTGAAGTCCACTTCACAGAGTTATAAAGATGGAAGAATTCGACCAGGAGAGGCACTGCTGATAGCTTATACCCATAGTTTAGTTGAAGAAAGGATGTCCAACAGACCTTTCCAACAGCAAAAATGGGTTTTAAAAAATCAGCAGAGGGATGCATGTTCCCCTAAACTGTAGAAATGTGTTATGCAGACTTTAGAGTACATAATTAGACATTACTTGGTAGATATAAATCTTACCTGAGGGTTTTCCATTTTCTGAATGTTTTTTTGATTTTGGACTGCATTTGTTTGAAATACCTTAACATTTCCAGTTATTTCAGATCAAATCGTAGGACTGTAGACATACTACACAATGGTCAGAGTAGAGACTCTGGGTACACTCTGCACCTGATGAGAAATTGCAGACTACGTGGTTCAGTGAACAAGTTAAAGCCAAATGAACACATCTATACATTGCATAAACTATTGTGACTGGCAAACATAGGTACCAGTTGGGTTGGTAACCAGTTCACACAACGTGTTTGTGCCCAGATTGGCACAGCTTATGCAAAAGTGTTTCACTGCTATTGATAGAGTCTGATCTATACGCATCTATACGCATCACACATTCTCAGGTTTCTGCAAACTTGCCATACATACAGTCTGCAAGAAGAACAGCTTTACCCAAACTAGTAGGTAAAATCAAGAAAAGAAAACTCTTGGGTGTCCTAGGCCTAAAAGAGAGCAAAATGAGGAGATCCTGTTGAAGCATTATGGTTGTTTTTTTTTTCATCAACAGGGTTCAGGACTTTACCTGCACCAGTGAATACCTCCCAGTGAGTTTATACTCATTAAAGTTCCTCATGACTGATCCACTATATTAAGCAAAAATCCTCCACTCCCTCAGGTTATGGCTGCTCCGGTCCTCCATGAGGACCAAACCAGAGTTGAGAAGACTTTTGAAGAGAGTCCCAGCTTAGTAAGCGATACTACACATCATGATCACAATAATATATCTATTTTTATAGTATCTTTATTTTTTGGGATTTGTGTTTGTCCTTCTACAGAATGACAGACTGAATGCTCAAGAGATTATGAAGCTGATCAACTCAGGTGAGATTTTGTATTCATGAGGTTTCACATTGTCATGCATAGGAGATTGCTGTGTCACATTGTGACCACTAGATGGAGCCAAAGTGGAAATATGATCAAGTCTATGAACAGTAATAGTTCACAGTGTAGAGTCTAGACTCTGGAGTCTAGACAGTGGTTTGTTGCTCTAGTGAGGCAATGTAAACTGAGCATGGTCTGTGAATAAATGTATAGACATCTTTTTTATTCACTGTCCTTATGTTCTATCCCAAAAAACAGTGTTGGACAAAGGTTATCACCTGCCTTTGGAGACATGCAGACAGGTCATCTTTGGAGAGAATGTATCCTTTTTATCTCAAGTCTCTCTCCTGGCTTTTAGTATTTTTGTGCCACTAGAGATTTACTCAGCTTTCCAAACTGTCTCTGTCCTCATTCAACTACTGCTGTCTTCTTAACTGTTCTGGCAGAATGAGGGGTGCTCAACTCTCAGCCAGGAGCAGGCAGAGACCCTGATTGTTGACCTGCGCTCTTTGCAGGTGAAGCTCACATTTTGTGTATAAGTGCTTAGTGAAACAAACAAGTGATGATGTCAGTGTAATGTATGTTTTTATCTCTTTTTCAGTCTGCTTTTGCTCAGTTTGATGAGGACTCTTCTGGCAGCATCAGCCCCTTTGAGCTCAGCTTGGCACTGGAAGCTTTTGGTATGAACATGCACCCACATACAATCACACGGACCCAGTTGCTTAATTTTTTTCTTTTTATTTGCTTACCAGGAATGAAATGTGACAACAAGGTAGTTCAGCTCCTATCTGAACGCTTTGTGGCTGGAGAGCCTCAGCTGTCCTTCTGTGGCTTTGTGTCATGTGTCTCCAGGCTCCGCAAACTATTCGGTACCACACACACAGCAACATCATTATAACGCATATTACCTGAACTAATTAGATACTTCTCTCTGACCCATCCACAATGAAATTATATGTTCTTAACTCACAAAGCTCTCTAAAATGGTGTTACTATGCTGTATGTGCCTTAATGCTAACTTTACCACAACAGCCTAAGACTGATAGGAAAGTGATCTGTTCTGGTCTTTTACTTAAGAAAAAGAAATAACCTTTCTATGGCATAAGCTTTTTCACAAAAGTATGTAAGAACAAAAATCTGCCTAGATAAGAACCATGTCATGTAACAAGGCTTTCAGCTAGACAAGAGAATCCTGTAAAAAAGGAGAAGCAGTTAGAGTTTTTAATCAGAAAGTTTTTATTTAAACTTGGTTTAATGTTAAAAATGCGTATACACTGATTACTGAAATTGCAACTGTAAAGATCAAGTCAGTATAACAAAAAAATGAGAATAGGATCCTCTACATTGTAGCTAACTGGTTTTGGTGCTAGAAGGATTTCTTTTCAAAATGTATTATTTCAGTGAGGAAAATAACTACAGGTCCTGAATGTCACCCTTGAAGAACACCCCTTTTCCCTTCGATATGCAAAGTTTAGGTTGTCTACAGACACACTTAATTCTCCAATTATTTTGCCCTTTTCCATAACTGCTTTTTGGATATGGTTAAGATTTTTGTCTTGGAACCACAACCTTTCATTCACGCACATAAATATAGAACTCAGTAATCAAGGTAGCAGTACTTTTGGCTTATTCCAAAACTCAATGGTCATATTTAGTTTTCAAAGTTACAAACAGAAAGTTAGAATGTGTTCAAGTAGGTTTGAAGATTTGCAGAAAGCAATGTTGATTCAGTGCTACCACATCAATCTCCTGCTGCGTATTTGTGTTTGGTTGATTACAGTCTTTGTATTTATTATTTTGATCATATGTTTGGGGCTAAATGCTAAACCACTAGTTAGCACTGCAGCCTGGATAACAAGAAGGATTTGTGTTCATACCTACTATGTCCTCCAAAGATGTTGTTGTACACAAACGCTGCCCCAAACATCTTTGAACATAAAAACTTAAAGTTCTCCTTCCCTCAAGGGTCTATATAAATTAACCTGGATCAAAAATGGAAGAGAAGAAAAATAATGGTCCCAGAGAAGTGCTTTTCATTTAAAAAAATGTATCTGATTAAATCATTCAAATGGAAATTCATTTAGTAATGTTGTGATGAGTAGCATGCATCACTTTTTATGTGCCTTTTATTTGAATATGGTTTTAAAAATAGTGCAAATGCTATAATATGCTCCTCTCTTCCTATCAGCTTTGTTTGAGGCTGAGACCAGCAAGGAGGTGAAAGAAAGAGGGATCAATTATGTAAGTAAACAGATAAATGTCTTTATCATTTCATGAATTTTCTCTGACCAAGATCTGATCTGGACTTTTCTTCTTTCTGATCTACTTCTGCCCCTCCTCAGTGGTTGCTTCAGTTTCTGGCTCTGTAGCTGAGCATCATGAAGATGAGCTACCGATGAACATGAGCTTTGGCATTAAAAATAACCATAACTGCAACATGCCTTTTTTCTTAGAAAATGCTTATCTTCTTTTGTTTCATGGTTTTTCCTGTTGAAAACATTGTAATCCTATTTTTTAAATATCCATCCTATAATAAAAAATGTTAGTCCATACCAACATATAGTGGTTAAATAGTTTTAAGTAGTTTACGTCAGACTTTTCATTCCTTTTTAAGCTTTTCTGTTTTTATTTCTCTGAATATATCCAATGTGTTTAACCCTTTTTATTAAATCCTGAACCAACATTGATATAAAAGTGCATGATCTTTGTCTGCTAAACTCAATAGATCATGTTTATATATATAATAACATGATACTCTGGACACATATAAATAAAATCATTAAAGAAAGATCCCTGAACTCTAACTTTGAGGTCCTTTTTATTATTTTTATAGATTTATTTTTTGTTTGTTTTTTTAAGAAGAGACGTTATTGGTCTTTAGACTCTCTGAAGGTTTTTTAAGATATTGGAGTTTAGCAGTTCTTAACTGATTTACTGTACATTGTACCTCCTGATGACAGCATTTAATGAAGTATGCACACAAAAAACTCAGTGAAAAAATGGAGGGTAGAGGAGCTTTACTTTGTTTCTCTGGAAATCAAATGCTTTTGTCTCAGAGGCAAATAATTGATCAGGCCTTTTCCAACTGGGTTGTGACTTGAGCAATTAGGACTAGGACATGCAGAGTTTTAAACTTTTAAGTTGTTTTTATCCAAGAGAACTAAAGGGACCAAAAACATTTAGTCTTGTTTCTTTTATGTTAAAAAAAATCTTACTTTCTTTTCAGTAACAGTTTTACCAAAGTAAATTTCTGCCTTGATATTTTTTTTGAGAACTTTATACAAATCTGACAGAAGCACAGCTGCTATACACAGACTCTAGGCCCTCTGACCACCATCAGTAGGCAATGCATGTGAAATGTTTTGCCCTATAGAACACAGTTAATCTGAAAGAAAGAGCTGTGGTTGTAACAAGTGACCGTCCAGTTGCAGGACAAACTCCTGCATCTTGCACCCCTGTTAAGATCACCAAAGGGATAAAGTTAATTTAAAGTGGCCTAATTAAAGTCCAGTCTAAGATGTGGTTAAAATCCTCTATTGTCACCTGATACTGTGGCATTCATCTTGGAAATTTCTGCCAGTTTTTTCCTATTTTATAACAATTCTTTAAACAAGAGCTAATTAAAGCACAACTAGTAATTCTGTTTAGAATGGATGTGTTTTTTTCCAAAGAGGGCCAAGTTGTTTTGGATAGGACCATCATCCATTATCAATTAATCTGAAATGTAACAGGAAGAGCAAAGGCAAAGGATCTCTGTAAGGCAGATATGTATTCTAGTCGTGGTTCTTGTCAACCTGCGGAAGCTTCCTCATTACTCCTACCTGCAGACTACTTCAGTTAATTGCTTGCAGTGTGTTAACTTAATACTACTGCGATGATTTAAAAACATTTAACTGGAATACAGATATTCTTGTAACAGAATTCCTAATTTAACTTTCTCTCCACATTTTAAAGTTTTTAATTTCCAGATAAAAAGATGCATTCTTCAATAATCATGATTTCTTGTGCTTGTATTTTTTGGGGTTGCCATCAGCTTTAGTGGCATAGTTGTGATTTGGTCTTTCTGAGTATGAAAAATTTTGTTTGTGTTCCATGTTTTCTTTTCTACGACTAAAAAAAACTTTGTCAGCTGGGGAATTATTTTTCAAATTATGACAGTTTGAACCTGATGCAGGATTCTTCATTATAAAGTTAAAAACATTTGTCTTATCATTAAAAAATAATACTAATTTATGAAATACTTAAAGCCAACAAGTTTAAATGTATTTCAATAGATTAAGCATAAATAAAACAGTCAAACAACTGCACTTATATAAGAAGGAAATAAATAAATGAAAAAAAATCTGTGTAACAGTTTATTCATCCATGTCCACATGAAAATACTCTGGAAAATATCTGGGTGGACACATGAACCCACTGACACACACACACAGTGAGTGCTGCCTGCCCCACAGAGGGTGTGAGGTTGATGTCTCAGCTATACGCACCATCTCTATTCTTAACACGCTGACGCCACGTACAGCGTCAACACACACTCGCACCCTCCTCCACTGCATTCCCGCACTCCCTCCATCAACACCCCCCCCCCCTTCATTCTCTCTAGTAACTGTCTGAGTATCACAATCTGCATCCTCCTCCTCTTCCCTGTTACATGCTGGCTGCTCTCCCTCTCTCTTGTGCACACAATCACAGGTGCTTGCATCTATACACACAGATGCACAAGTGAGCCAATGTCCTTTCTACACATGCAGCTATAAATAGCAGCTTTACTCACACAGCACTTCCTGTTCATCGTTAGGTGAGTACGCACAGGTTGCCCTAAGCAACCGTCCATCTACATTGTGATGGAAAGGAGGAAAGAAAAAAAAGAGAGAAAACAAAAGGACCAACTATGAGTCCTATGAGTTCTTTCAGGGTCTGGACTCTTTCATATTTACCTGTTTGACTATTTCCTGTGTTGATCTCAGAACCTTGGGCTTTCTCCTCCTTCTTTGAGTGAAGTGAGTCATATGTTGGGCTCACAAGTCACACAGATGTTCTCAACATTCAACAGCCTACTTCTTCGTATGCCGTCAGCAGAATGATCAACTCTAGACAAAAGCTGCACCTGCATACTGAAGCTCAAACCAGAGTATTGGATGAATTAAATTGTAAATTAAAGAGTTACAAAATCCGTTCACTAACTTTTACCCTGAACTCATAGCTGTTCAGATCATAGATTGGGCTGATGTCTGTCCCACCAGACAATAGGCACCCAGGTCAGGCTACTCATGATCTGATAAAACCTCTATTACTACTATTACTACTACTTCTACTACTAGTTTATTTATTTGTCTATAAAGCACTAAGATATAACCACAGGTGCAACAAAGCGTTGTAGAAAGAAAAGACTTTAAAAGAGCTAAAATATAAAACAACAAAAAAAAACATAAGAAAAAAAATGTTGCAAAATTGTAGAAGCAATAAAACAATGTAAGCAAAAAAAAAAAAAAAGTGTCATACTGTGTTGAAAGCCAAGACATTTTTGATGTGTTGACAGTGAAGGGGCTTGTCTGATTCCAAGAAAAAGACTATTTCATAGCCTCGGGGCAGCAAAGCTAAAAGTCTGATACTCTTTGAGCTTTCTTTTCGACCTTGGTGCCTCCAGGAGCAGCTGACCAGCAGACCTGAGGTATCAAGCAGGAGAATGCGATTAAAGCAGTCTAGATGAGTTGTTTAGTGGTAAAACCATGTAAATGTTTAAAGACAAATAACAGAAGATAAAAATGCACAAAAAGCTAACAGTGGCACGGGAAGGGGGGTGCTGTGGGGGCTGCAGCCTCCCTCGTCATAGCATCAGCCCCCCATGGTGGGGGCTGTGGGGTAACATAATATTGTACTTAAAAACATGAAATTATTTATGTATTTATTTTTTAAAAGACTGTGTTTGATATGGGATTAAAATGATGGGCTGTGTATAAGATATAAACTAATGATTGAAATGGTTTTAATTCCCCTATACGCTAGAATAAGGCTGCATATCACTAAATATTATGTCTGTATTAAGCTATTAAGTGATAAAATATGAAATTATTATTTTGTTTTTGTGTGTTTTTTGTTTCAGATATGAAATCATTCCCCATATCCATAGTCGAATGGACTTTCAAGATGTTCAATGCTCAGTTTAGGCTATATTTAGGCCATGTTTCATTCAAGTATTCCTGTTCCTGTTGATTGCAAGCTGTTGTTTGTTTTCAATTCAATTCAATTCAGTTTATTTATATAGCGCCAAATTCACAACACATGTCATCTCAAAGCACTTTACAGTTCAACCAGATCATCCAGTCAAATTGATACAAAGTTTTCTATCTAAGGAAAACCAGTTGATTGCATCGACTCATTGACTCAAATACAATCCCTCACACTAAGCATGCTTGTAGCGACAGTGGAGGGGAAAAACTCCCTTTTAACAGGAAGAAACCTCCAGCAGAACCAGGCTCAGTGTGAGCGGCCATCTGCTGAGGTCGACTGGGGTTCAAGGAGACGGAAGCAGAGACATAAAAAGCAGCTGTAAAAGGCGGCCCCGTCCAGGAAACACACAGCCAGGCAGACGATCAATTTTAAATGATTAAAAGAGAAGATATAGTTTAAAATGTTCATGCTTTGTTCCGATGCATTTTAAATGGCAGTTTTTGGCGACAAATGTAGGCCTACAATATTATGTTAAAAACGTCAGCCACAGCCCTCAACATAATGACGTCATGTGTTTTCCAACCCAGCCATCAGCCCCCCTCGCTTGAAACAGCTTCCAGCGCGCCTGAAAGCTAATGAAAGGAAGCCAAGGTAGGAGGTGACATGCTACCCCTTACTGACTGCAGTAAAAAGCCTGGCGCCATTATTTTGGACCAACTGGAAATTTCCCGGGGATTACTGGCTGACTCCAAGATAAAACCCTTTTACAGTAGTATATGATCAAGGCATGTACTGCTGTTTCAAGTTATTTTTTTGAAAGATGAGGCTTTACATATGCCAGCTGCTTAGAGCTGGGCATACACTGTGTAATATTTTCAATCGTTGCACACAGCTACAGCTCAAACTGTATGGCCAAACAGGGTTTAAAAGTTCACAGCTCTTGATGCTTGTTCTCACACTGTGCGGCTCGACGCTCTATGAGCTGACTGAATCTCCCGACCTTATGATTCCTGATCGGGTGATGGTAGTGAGAGGCTAATCGCCCCTTGTTTACCCCCTGTATACTACAAGACGCACGATCAGACTGAAAGTTGGCCTGATCACAAAATTCTTGCACAACTGGAATCGGCCCGAAAAGAGCAAAAAATCGTACAGTGCATGCCCGGCTTAAGATGATGAAAAACTGTATCTCACCACTGCTCTGACATGGTATCTAAGATCATTGTCTATCTTAAAACCCAACATAAAAATTGATTGCTTTAAATGTTGCTGTAAGCAGCCCAAGTCAGAAGTAGGAGTGTAAAAGCCATCACCCCTTGGGTTTAAGGCAGTCCCTTTTCAAAATTAGATGCCTATTGACATTTCTTATCTTCTTCTGGCCTCCCTACTTGGCTTCCTGTCTGCGGTCACCTACAATTTTGGAAAGGTGCACCAGAGTGTCTGGGGAAGGGGCAAGGGCACGTTTGCGTTCACTGTGACACACATGCAGACCACCTGGTTTCTGAGTATAAACCAGCCTTTAGGCCCCATGGTAGT